TTTACATGTTTCACATCAAAGTCGTGTTTATAATTAAAACTTCAAAAAGTTTTAAAAGCTAACTGTAAATTAATATATTTTGAAGAGCCTTTCTTTAAAGCTTTGGAGCGCATTTTGATCACAATTTGTTTTTCTTTCAAACGGCGCTCGGTAGTTTAAAATTTTGCATGATGAAACAACCTAATTTATTTTTCGTATTAACTTTTCTTCATCGACGAAGTTGCCCCTCATTTGAGCATGTGCTAACAATCATTACGTGACGATTCCAAAGGCAAAAACATAGTAACTTAAATTATTATTTAAAAACTACTGACATCAATCAATCAAAAAATATATACTTTGTGGTCAAAACATTGCGTATTTTGATAATTTTTTGACGGTAGGCATTTAAGCAGAAAAATATTTTTTCAACTTCAATGTTTATTTGCAATATTTAAAGCATAATCGAAGGTAAATACATAAAACATTTATTTAGTAATATTCTACAAATATCAGTTGAAAAAGTTTCGAAAAAACCTAGTTAATAGATTTCTTAGTTTTTATGCATTATTATTTTAAAGCTGAGTCGCATAAGTGACGGATTCGCTCCGTGACGAATTCACCCCGCCTTACCCTACATTTTTTACACTTTTTGATGTTTCAACTTTGCAATGCATTCACATATAGAAACCCTATTATTAAAACCAAACATTCTACCACCGGTTTCTAGAAATAAGCATTTAACTTGATGTTTTTCAAGCACGCAGTTCTCCAATTCAGTAAATCATTGCTTGACTTTAGCATGAGAAACCTTTTGCTACTCGTAGTCCAAACTTTCCGGTATTCTTCTTGCAAGATTAAAAATTTTATAAAACTTTTAAAAGTATTAAAAAAAAAGCAACTAGGCTTAGCAAGCATTGAACGCTAGGGTACAGTGAGAATTTATTTTACTATAAAAACTCAGGAAAGATGTATTCATATGTAAAATTAAATTTTAAATAGTGTTTCCTAAAATATATTTTAATCTGACGAAATACCTAAACTTGCACTTTTAGAAAATGAAAAAATGTATAAAATCTCATTAAAAAAAATTTGCCTAACATTGTATTTTACAAAAAGGTATTTTTGTAAAATACAATGTTTATAGCAAATCATATTTTTAGGTAATTGCAAGTTTGCTTGATACTTGTTTGATAGTTATTATTTTGCATAGATGCTACCTGCGACGCAGATTTTGCACTTTTCAGGAAAGGAAGAAGGGGCATTACATTTTTTTTTTAACAAGTTTTAATGAATAAAAAGTTCTTTAGACTTTCAAGTTTTCAGACTTTCTTATTTTGTTTTAGAAATTAAAAAGTCAGTGATGCGGTCAGTGATGCGGTTTCAACAAAAAACAGATGTTTATCCCCTATCTTTCCCAAATGATGCTTCAATAACACTATTAAAACACTATTAAAGAAATAGTAAATAAGTCTATTCCCAGCCAACATTGACAGGCGGGTACCGTATGGTTTTTGTCTGGGCTTACGGGAACGGGATTTTGACGGGTAAGTGTTTTGGTTTCCAGACGGGCCCCATATGGTAATAAAATCAAGCATATTTGCTCTTTAGGGTTTTATCTGGTTTTTATCAGGGCCGAATAACCTGGGGATTTGACGGGTTTCCCATAAGGTTCCCAAAAGGTTTTAAAAAAATCATAACAAAACTTACTCGATGGTTGCCATTTTTAATTCGTATTGTGCGTGAAATAAGATTAAAAATTTAACTTTTATGCATATATTTTTTGAATACATTACATTGTAATTAAGAAGAATTTTTTTTTGATGTGTTTTGTCACTGTAAAACTCAGTTAAAAAGACGTTGTTTTAAAATTTCATTTTAAAAGAATTTTTATATATACATATATATATATATATATATATACATATATATTATTTTTTAAATGAATTTACAAAGTTCAACATAATTGTTAGCATATGTTCCAGAAACTATTAAACATGTAGTAAATGTTCCATTGAGACACTGTTTGCATTTTTAAAATGATCAAAATATAAAGTTTTGTTTCTGTTAGTCACTAGCAAAAACAAACTTTATATTTTGATCATTTTAAAAATGCAAACAGTGCAAACTAGCAGCTAGTGATATAATTAGATAATTAATGGTTTGAGTTTAATCAAAATATTAGTTTAGCCAGAAACATTTAAAAAGAGCAAACAGGCAAATAGTATGTAATCGATAGGTTATATTTAGGGAATTAAAAGCTTTTAAATCGTTTTTACAGATCCACTCTTTTCCATTGATTTTTCTATATTTTATGCAAGCAAAATGACTGATGTTATCGAAGTTAAGAATCTGGAGATTTGACGGGTTTCCCATAAGGTTCCCAAAAGGTTTAAACTGATAATTAAAAAAATAACTAGATGTCTAACTTCCGCGTATTTTTTGAAGCAAAAGTCGGCCATTATGGGGAGCAAATTTAAAAAATAGTAAACCACGGTTGTTTGAATCAAATAATATTCGATTCATAATTTATAAATCATGGTTAATTCTTGTGCTGCAGCAGGTTGCACAAATAGAGCAATAAAAAACGACAGCAGAGCTGTCGTAAATTTCAGAGCAGAGCTTTCATAAATTTCCAATTAATAATAGAGAGCTCTGTAAAAAGTGGATTGTTGCTATAAAACGTGAAATATTTATTCCTACTGAGCACAGCCGCATATGTAGTGATCACTTTTTCCTTCAGATTACAATATACCTGATTTTAAAAACAAATCTAAATTAAAACCTTTTGCTATACCATCTATTTTTATTGATTCCAAACCAAAAGTCAAAAGAAAGTTTAATTCTATATCGCCACAAACAAATAAAAAGAGACTCATTAAAAAAGTTTCAGAAACAGGCAGTCACCATCACATCAATTTCCAATCGGATATAAGTGATAACAATAGTGTTGCTGCTAATAGAATCGAAATTTATATTAATAGTGTTATTTCAGAAATAAGAGAGTATTGATTGCCAGGTGAATATAAATAGTACCTTTAATATTATCAAAAGTAGTAACAAAATTATTAATAATGATACCATTATTTCTAAAAGTACATTGTCGACAAATGCAAGTCCAACTAAAGATGCTAAAAAATCTAAGCAAAAAAAATTGTATCTGAAGATGTTGCTAATGTTATTTGTGAAAACTTAAGTGGATTGACTTTTGATATTATAAAAAATCAGTTTAAAAACAATAATTCATTTCCAAAAGGGCATAGGTATACTGATGAAATAAAAAAATTTGTAATAACTCTGCATTTTTACTCAACTAAAGCATACAATTTTCTACGACCTATACTTCACTTACCTATACTGCTTCAAGCTCTTTAGCCAACTGGACTTCTTCTGTAGATTGTGAACCTGGTCTTTGAAGATGTTTTGAGTTATATTAGTATAAAAGCAGAAACTGACATTAATTATAAAGATTGTGCATTAATTATAAATGCAATGGCAATCAAAACATCAGTTCTAAATGATAAAAAGACAGGTCAATTCATTGGCTTTACAGATTATGGAAAAGATATTGTTGCAATTGAACCAGATACACCAGCTACAGAAGCATTGGTATTTATGCTGGTAGGATTACGAGGTCATTGGAAAACGCCTATTGGCTATATATTGTGTAGTAAAATAACAGCTGAAAACCTTTCATTTCTTATTAAAAAAGCATTAACAATTTCTTCTGGTAGAAAAATTAATGTACGTAGCATTACATTTGATGGTGTAAATGTTAACTTTAATTCTGTTGAATCACTAGGATGTTCATTTGGGAAAAGATTAGAAAAAATTAATGAAGATTTACTTTTGAAGGCTATAATCACTACTTGTATGTAATCCCTGACCCAAGTCATATGCTAAAATTAGCTAGAAATGCGTTAAGTGATTTAGAGGTACTTAAGGATTGTGATGAAAAATGTATTAAATGGAGTTATATCAAAGCTCTATATGAAATACAAGAAAAGGAAGGATTGAAATTTGCAATTAAAATCTCAATAAAACATTTATTTCCAGCGTCACAAAATGAAAGTTAAGTTTGCTGCACAAACACTTAGTAGTTCAGTTGCAGATGCAATTGAATTTCTGATGTTTTCCAAACATCCAAATTTCAAGCATGCTGAAGGAACTATAAATTTTATAAGGGTCAAATTATTTGATATGCTGAGCTCTGAAAATCTTTTTTCAAAATCATATAAGAAAGCTCTTTTTTTTAATGATTATCCTTATTGGAATTCAAATTTTGATCAAATGATAAACTACTTATCAAAGTTGACAGATGCTAATGGTACTCCATTATTAAAACATAGGAGAAAAACTTTTGTATTAGGGTTTCTTGTGGCAGCAAAAAGCCTTCAACACTTAGCTTATGAGCTTTGTACTTTAAATGTTCATCCTTTTAAATTTTGCCTAACATACAAATTTTCACAAGATCATCTTGAGTTATTGTTCTCTTGTATTTGTGGAATGAATGGATTTAATAATAATCCAGATGTCATCCAACTTAAGTCATCTTTAAAAAGAATTCTTTTGCACCATTCTATTGTAGGCTCAAAGCATGCAAATTGTTTAACATTTGAGGATATTGCAAATGGCTCTATTTTTGCATTAAATTGGAGTAAAAAATTTGAAATTTATTCAAATCCTGAAACAGATTTTTTAAACTTTGATATTGATATTGTTACAATTCAAAATTATCTTGATAATACCTCTATCTATAAAGAAGCAATACTAGGATATATATCTGGATTTATTGTAAGAAAATTATTATCAAAGATAACATGTTCTGCGTGTGCAAACTCACTTATATCCCAAAACAATTTTGTGAAACATTCTTATGGAGCATCAGCACTGTTGTGTTTTCTAATTTTTTTGTATCTTTAGATTAGTACAATTATTATTATAAAAAGCCTTAATCAAGAGGTCAATTTTTTTATTAGTTCATTACAATTTATTTAACAAACATATAAAATTATTGGGAAATGTCAAAGATCTTAAAACCGACGAGGCTTGATCTTGATCATAATGCACCAACTGCTTCAAAAGAATGGAAGAATTGGAAACGAACATTTGAAAATTTCATTGAAGATTGTGGAGAAAATGCTCCAGACAAATTTCGCTCCATCATTAATTTTGTTTCATCAAATGTTTATGATTACATTGAAGAGTGTGATTCCTATGAAAGTATAATTGAAACCCAAGAAAACTTATATATAAAAACCCCTAATAAAATTTTTGCAAGGCGTCAATTACTTATAAGACATAAAACATCGAGTGAATCCTTAGAAGACTCTCTTCAAGAACTACGTAAACTCAGTAAAAACTGTAATTACAAGGATGTTTCAGCTGAACAATATCGAGAGGAACAAATAAGAGATGCTTTTATTTCTGGAATAAATTCGAATTACATTCGTCAACGACTTCTTGAAAATTCAACACTGAATTTGCAATCAGCATTTAATTAAGCTCGTTCTCTTGACATTAAATTTAATTTTTTTACAGTTCATATTGAAACGAGATCTGTGTAAAGAGGTTTTCAAAGAAGTCGTTTTAACACCAATGGAAAAGCTTCCAATTCCCGAGATAATCGTGAAAGCATTCGATACATGATTAAAGAATCGTTCAAAAGTTTGCTTAATTTTGACAGTGTAGTTTTAAATACTATTTTTTTTTGAAATAAACCATTCAATTTATATATAAATTTGCTTTTTCTGTAAATTTTAAACATTTAAACGTAGTTTTGCAAGATTTGCAATGGGTAAACCTCGTGGGACCCTCACGGGATACCCGGCGGGCATACCCATATATGCCCCAGAAAAAAACCGCGGCCATGATCCGGCGGGTTCCCGATGGGTTACCCATATGGGTCCCATTTGCAAACCCAAATGTGTCCCTTACGGTTTTAAAGTACGGGATTTGACTGGGACCCATACGGGATACCCGTCGGGCTAACCCATATGGGTCCCATATAGAAACCGCGGTCATGATCCGGCGGGATACCGTTGGTCTTCCCATACGGGACCCAGTTGACGACCCGAATGAGTCCCGTACGGTACCCGTATGTCAATGTTGGCTGGGTTGATATTAAAAGCTTAATAAAATTTTGTTTCTTTGTTTTAAACACAGGTAACAACTCTCTATATAGAGCTCTAGCGTTAATATACCCATTCCTTGTATCTGGTCCAACTACAAACATAGATGCTACTGTCAATTGTTTTACAGCACGCACAGTACTTGTGGTATGAATTTTAAAAATAGGAATTTTTTGAAGTGTCAATTTTAGCAATAACAACTTATTTTTAATAAGCGAACGAGTAAAAAATAGGTTCTTGAACTTCTTTATTTTTCCATTCAACTAGCTCTTGAATAGCAGTTGCTGCAAAGTTCAATTTAGGTATTTTTCTTGGTCAAATTTCCATATTCCCAAGGATATCAATACCACTTTGTTTTAAAATATGGTCAACTGCAAAGTTGCGGTCTTCTGCATTGTTTCTGGAGATTAATATACTTTTATGGTTTGCATACCAAACTCCTAACTGGATGTAGGGAGTCTCAATTGAGAAAGAATGCATCTTCAAGTTTGTTTTTTAGTTTTATGTCAAAAAAGGCTTAAAGTAATATTGTAAACAGAATAAAACAAGTTACTTTAGATTCTTCTAATTCTGCTAAGTCAAGTCATGTTTCTTTGCCCACATTAAGACTATTTTTATGCCAGTAGTGAGCTATATGACATGAATTAATGAGCCACTCTAAATTTCTCTTAGATTAGGTGGCAGCGCACCAATCCCAACTGTTTTACATAGCTTGTACGATCGTTTTTGATCTGTTAACATGTTTTTTAGTTTCTGGAATGTTAACAAAGCTCTCTTCGTCTGGAAGAGCCTTAAATTGAGGATTATACTCCATCTTATTAACATCTGAAAAAAAACTTTCCGACAGGACCTACAATCCAGTTCTACACGATATTAGTCTATAAATTTCTTCTATTAGGTAACGGAAAAATAGCTCATTTGAACGAAGCATGCATATGGCCCAACAGCACTTGTGACCTAACAGCTTTTCAAGATGTGCTATAGCACCACCTTTCTAGCCGGTTTTAATTGAAATAATATCTACTCCAAATACTAAACATGATTTAGTAAAATTATATTGTTTCAGTAAAAAATAAACACCTTCAGCAATCTGTTTAGCTGGCTTATCTGGATAAATAGGTGAATCCGGGGTAAAATGACCAAGATATTGAGCGCCAGGCTCTAAAGTCACGGTAATGTGACTGTGCATTTGAATCATTTATCGTTGCTCTTGTTGAATCTTTCCTTCCATTAAAGTAAACACCAATATTACCTGCATTTGGAAGTTTTGAGTTATCATTTTTCTTTGCATCCATAATGACTTTTTTCCTCGCTCTTATCAACTTAGAAGGGTCACAAACAAGATAAAAGGATTCAGGGGTGAGAAATCCTGCGTCAATTAAATCTTGTAGATATCTTGTTGCAGTTGTTGCAGCTGCGGCAGGTGAAATTCCAAACCGATAAAAGAAAACTAGGTTATGCTTATTTTAAATTAACTCATCATTTAAGCATTTGCTGTTCAATAAAACAATAATATAAGTAATATAATATATTCACCTTATCACCTTATGTTAGCCATTTTTAAACATTAAAAAAAATTTTTAAAGTTAAACAATTTTTAAATAAATTTCCGAATGTTAAACAATTTTTAAATAAATTTAGGTTTTAAAAAAGCTAGTTTAAATTTTAACGCGTGACAAACTCGGCTAGCTTAGGTCTTTGCTTTTCCTCAAAAAACCGTCAGGGTTATTCATTATTTTATATTGTTTTTTTTTTCTTTGTCTAAACTGACAAAATAATGTGGGGTAAATAATCGAAGTGTAATTCTTGAAACAAAAGAATTTGACTGTAGTGAGACACAAAAGAGTTGTCTAAAGTTACTTTAAAATAAAAAAATACTTAACATAAAAACATACTTAAAAACACTTAATATAAAAAAATACTTAAAACAAAAAAATACTTAAAAAAAAAAAGCATTTGTAAAACAAGGCCTTCTCGTACACAAAAAATCCTTAGCTTTATAACAAGGGTATAATTATTAACAAAGGTAAAATTTAGAAAAAACATATATTTTGCTAAATTTATTCAAAGAAATTAAAATTCAACATTCTTACCCGTTCCATATAATCTACTATAGAAAATACACAGTTAAGGAAAGTTTTATAAACTTTCCCTGGCTAGTTTAGAAGTAACACCTGAGATAATTTGCGTAAACTCCAAAAACAAACTTTACAAAAAAAGAATACAAAAAAACTCCTCAAACCTTAATTAAGTTATGTAAAAAAAATGATAGTAATAAAATTGAAGTGCCGTAGGCGTTATGAACATCACCTTAAAGCTTTTTAAAACCAACATACAATTAAATTTACATTTTATGTATAGAATTAAATATGAACCAATAATATTTAATGGCCTTAAGGTTAGGAATTGTAAATAGTGTTTTTGAAATAAATAAACTTGAATTAAAATATGAAAATAATAATATATTTGGTGGTGAAGAGATTCAAGTGATTGCTTTCACAGGCAAGGTCATCTAGTGTGGTGCTCCTTAACCACTTAATAGTGTTTCAAACTTGGAACACTAGAAGTAAATTAATAAATTCTAAAATATTATTAAAATAAATATATAAAATAAATAATGCTGTTTTAAATTTGTTAAAATATTTAAAATTTAACCAAAATAGTTAAGTTTTTTTAATACTCTAGAAAATTTTTTTTTATCACAAAATAATTTTCATAATAATCGTATTTTAAATAATTTATGACATCGAGAAAAAAATTTACTGATAGAACTTTTTAACGCGCCGTTAAAAACTTTCAGTTTTGGGAACTTGAGACCCTGATGGAAGAGTAAGAATAGAGACAGCTGTTGGAAAGGTAAAAATAGAAACATTATAATGGATCAACTCTTTTAACTCGAGGAAATGAAGTATAAATATCAATCAGAAGCTTTCAAATATATTTTAATCAATTATAAAGAAGATCTTTAAAATAGAAACAGTATGTATAAAAATATGTTGTAAAAAAAAAAAATAAAAGAAAAATGAATTTCTAAAAATTATAATACAAATTTCATTCATAAGCATTGCAATATAAATTACGATATAACAAAAAAATGTGTTTAAGAAAGCTTAAGCACTTTTATAAACTCTATAAAGTGAAAATGTTGAGCGATTTACACGGTTACAATAACTTTTTTTAAACCATCTAAATCTTTACAAAGAAAATGTTTTCAAAAGTGTTAGTGACTTCTCAAAAGATGAACAAGAGTGAATACTTTTATTTTTCCCATAAGTATGTGGGCCTTAAAACTATTTTGTATTCTCTTATTGAGGTAGCAATAAGCGTATGAAATACGTTTATTGCTACATAAATGACGGAAAGCATTATGTTGTTAGTACACGTTTTAGTCAAGCGGAAGTTTTAGAGGAATTTTTTAGTCAATATTCTAGTTTAGGTTGAAACGTTTGAAGGTTATAGATCAATTAGATTTATAGTTATAGAGGTTATAAATCAATTAGATTTGTAATGCAACGCTCATTTGTATCTGTTACTGGTGTTTAGATTTCTCATGCTTAGAAATCTACCATCTTGGATCACTGTCACTTTTATTATAATATTTGGTTATATTTATATTTCTGTGGACGAGCATTGCGGCGCTTAATACTGAAAGGCGTTTTGGAAATTGACTTCCACCATAACAAATCACAATAAATCTTGCAATAATAGTTGAATCATACTTGTAGTCAATTAGTATAATTAATAGTTTACTATTGAAAAATGTATTGTGAATGATACAACCTTATGTTGTAATATGTTATGTTAACCTACACTTGTAGTCTTGAATTATGTATGTTGAATTATGTATATTGTTTAGTTTCATTTCAGTATTTGTATAGCAGTTTATAAATCAACGAATTTTTTTGAGTGACTCAGGGGTAATAAAGGTTTTATATAACTTTTTGACTTTGGGTACATAAAGATTTTATACAAATTAGATACCAAATGGTATCTAATTTTTGCTTTAGACTTTTTATTGATTGTATTTGCACCTTAACTTATTCTTTGTCCATCCTAGCCCAAATATATGTGATTGTATTCAAATCTGGTGATCGAACTGGCCTGAGCAATAAATTTACTTTTTTTTATCCATGCCTTTACTGTACGAGTTGTTACGGTAAGCGCCAAATCTTGTTGAAATTGCCACCATTCGTTTTGATCAATCAATATGACTACTGATGGAACCATGCAGTTTTCTAGCGTCTCTTATATATATGTTGGTTTATTAGACCTGTATAAATATTACACACTTCTACTCCGTTAGAATTAAAGCAGCCCCAAATAGTAACACTCATGCCGCCACTTTGCAACCTCAGTAGAACGCCAATTTTTTT